CCGAAGCCAAGGATGTGAGAACCTAAATTTTTAGATAACTAATTAGTTTGATTAATAATAATATTAAGTCAGTTAACAGTGATTATTAAATTATCAAATTATAATGTTAATAGCATCATGGTTAATACCAATATTAGATTGCTTTAAATAAAATTATTTATCTTTCTGTAAAAAAAAATTTAATAAATAATAAATAAATAAATAAAATCAAAATTTATGTTGGGTAGAGAAATTTGGCCCAAGCATGCCAATGCATGCCTTTGCTTGCTGCCACACTCCATGCCTACATGCATAGATGGCAATTCCAAGCCTTTGATTAAGGCAGCCACAGCATGTAGCAAACTATAAGCTATCATCTAAGCTTAGATGACAGTTCTTAAGCAAAAAAGAGAAGTAAAGTAAAAATAAAATAAAATAATAATAATAAATTAGGCCCTCAAACTCCTATAATTAGGAGCACTATTCAGCCTCATTACACACACATGTAACTGAGCAAAACAAAGACGTAGAGAGGGAGAGAAAGCAAGAGGGAAAGGAGAGAAGAGAGGGAAAGGAAGGCTCAACACTTGGGATTTTTTTTTTTTACTTTATTGAGGTAAAATACTCAACCCCTATCCTTCCTTAGATGTTTTTCTTTAGTAAATCTATACATTAAAATATGCAAGAGTGTGTATTGATAATACACCAATGCTCAATGCATGTTACATTTGGACAGAATGATAATCTTATGATTATGTGATTTTTGTCCTTCTTACAAGTACAGATTACGTGGTTTAGCTACTGATTTTGATCTTTATGTAATCAAGTATTCTCTATTTTTGAATCAATCTTGCATGCTTATGAATTTGTGTTTACTCTTCATAAATATTATTTTCTGTTATCACTAATGAAAGTAAATATGAAATATTAGAGTTTCACATGGGAATAATAGTAAGAAACATTTTTTTAGTCTTGCATGTGATTCATGGTGGATACAAAGTGTGTCTTCTGCAAACTAATGAACTTCCAGCAAAACAGATTTTTAGTCCGTTTTGAATAAGCCCAAAACAAACTCATGAGAACACTTTCATAAAATCTGAAACTACTAGAGTTAGTTTAACATGTTTTCATGGTGCTAGAATGTTGAAGAAAATTATTTGACAACGTTTCATGGTCTGAATATATTTTTAACTTCATTGTTGTTTGGAGACAACAGCAATGCTGACTTTACCAAGTCACTGTTTATTCCACAGAATGAATTTTCAAGTGATTCAAATCAGCAAAGTTACATTTTTAAGTTACCTTTCAAACGCCACTGGTTTAATAATTTTTTATTAAGTATTGAGAGAGAAACGCCAATTTTTCCAAAATTTGACAGAATCAGTCCAGTTTTCTTATAAAAATTATTTGACCATCCTCGACTGGTTTTCAGTCTTCACACTCCTCTGGAAATATGTTCTAAACTCAAAAATTTAGCAAAACGTTCTAACCATGCCTCTTTTTGACACCGCTGGAGGCCCCTTTTTATATTTCGAACACAGAACACCTGTGTTGGAGGTTAATGTAATTCACTGTCCCAGAAAACCATTTTTCTTCCAATTTTTTTTTCTCTATTTTAAAATCATTTTTAGTCCTGGTATTCTTCTCAAAATATTTTTTTAACTCAATGAACTAGCACCAGTTAAAATATTATAATGGTTGAACTTTGTTTGGTATGAGTTTCATATTTTTTTGTCTGACCATACAGTGCTGAAAGAAGAAGTGTGTTAATTCTTAAGAAATTTTGTGATGATTCCTAAGACATTCTATCACATTTAATTTGGTTGCCATATATGATTGTGTTGTGATATATAAACATTATATCACTGTGGTTATCAAGCTAAAACTCGCACATTCAAATAAAAAAAAATGTAAATTTGACGAAGTAAAGAAACACGAAATTGAACCGATAATGTAACTCACTGTCCCAGAAAACCAGTTTTCTTCCAATTTTTTTTTCTCTATTTTAAAATCATTTTTAGTCCTGGTATTCTTCTCGAAATATTTTCTTAACTCAATGAACTAGCACCAGTTAAAATATTATAATGGTTGAACTTTGTTTGGTATGAGTTTCATATTTTTTTCTCTGACCATGCAGTGCTGAAAGAAGAAGTGTGTTAATTCTTAAGAAATTTTGTGATGATTCCTAAGACATTCTATCACATTTAATTTGGTTGCCATATATGATTGTGTTGTGATATATAAACATTATATCACTGTGGTTATCAAGCTAAAACTCGCACATTCAAATAAAAAAAAATGTAAATTTGACGAAGTAAAGAAACACGAAATTGAACCGATGATACATTAAAAATTTAAAAGTGATGGGGTGAGCCTGATTTAGAAGCTTGCGCCAGTGAGTTGCAAACCCTAACATGGCACGGGAAGGCATTTCGGCTCTTATCGGTGTAGGCGATATAAGGTTGGCGGTGCTGGTGTCACAACATAGACCATTCCCTTAGGGCAAACCGTGATGTCATGACTTGGGTACGTAACCCTGATGCGTAGGCATCATTGGTAGTTACAACAAGTAACATTTGAATATTTGACCAAGAGGGAGTCAAAATTGCCCGTGGCCATTGCTTAGCGATTGAGTGGAAATAGTGCTCCGCGGGGAGTTACTTAAATTTATCTGATAAACTAAATCTATGTGAATTTAAAAAAAGAAAACTGTGCATTTTCCTTATGATGAATTATTGTTTCCGTTTGCCTTTTTTTTATATTTATTTATTTATTTATCCATCTATTGTTATTATTTTAACTGTTGGCATTCCGGTTATGCCTGTTATGCGTATTAAATGCTACCTTTTATTCTGTTACTACGCATTATTCATTAATTGTGAGTATTATTATCGACGTGGGTATTCTCAGGTTGTAGTATATTATTGAGCTCGTCGCTCATTGGCATTCTCGTTGCCCTGGCGTTTTATGCTAGGTACCGAAGAAAACAAAGGAGACACCGAGGCCTTGCAAGGTGACATTCAGCCTTGGTTAGCTTGAAGAGTCCCTAAATTCCACGAACCATTTCCTATGTTTCCTAGTTTTCTCTAGTTTTCTTTCATAGTTGTTTTATTTTTTTATGTACCGAGACTAAGTTTTAAGTTTTATTAGAATTGTAATTTGAAAACTATAAATTTTTGGGTTGTTAATTAATGGATGTTAGTGATGTTTGGTGGCAACATTGATTTTAAGTTCTAAATCTTATTATGATGTCCTTAAAATTTAGGGCGTCACAACATGGTATCAGAGCTTAGGTCTAGACACCCTTGAGACCTTGGGTAGACTTAAGTATACGTCTCTTGCTACGCTTCAATTCAAAACATTTATGATCTAAAGTCTCACCAAAAGTCTAATAGTGTCATATTTCCTCTGTAGGATGTCAAGCCCACCACACAACGATGACTGGCTCTCAGACCTAGAATCTGACCTAGAAGAGGAACCATTACTAAGCGATCCAGAAATATGGGCGGAGGTTTCCGAGTCTGAACCAGATGAGGAGGAGTTGGGAGAAGATATGATGGAAAAGGCGAACGAGGAAGATGATGAGGAAATAAATTTTGTGGAACCCTTAGCCGTCCTTCCCCCAGAAGAGTCCGAAGGAGAAGAGAGCGAGATGGATTTGAATCCCATCTCCTCCATAGAATATGCCTTTGAGGAAGGCGAGGCAGACTCAAGAAATGTGGCGCAAGAGGTGGCATTTCCAGTTGGACTTAGGGAATACGTGAGGCTAGAACCAATCATACCTTGCAAGTGGAAGCATCGAAGGGAGGATGACAAATACATGGGGCCTGTAAGAGTTGTCCGGGAATTTGCTGGGGCCATGTATAAGGTCGACCCTTTACCACCAGCCTTGGCCAACAATTACACTAACCTCTTCCACCAGCGGGACATTTTCTTAGTAGCCCCACCAGCCGGAAAGATCATCCCTACGGATGGGACAGTGGATTTCCGCGACCCACTCATGTACGAAGAGGTCCCTGTGAGAATTCTGAGCTAGTATGGGGGATTGGAAGGACCGAGGTTGTTAATCCGTTGGAGGTGCTACAGACTTTACGATGAGAGCTGGGAGTATGCCTGGCAGGTGCATCAACACTATTCGTGGCTCTTCAATTAAAAAAACAAAAAAACAAAAAAAAAAAGAAGGACAGAAGAAGGGTAGGCTAGGTTGCTTAAAAAATTTTGTTGCGATTTCATTGTAAAGACCTAGTCTTACAAATATTAGTAATGGGGTAGGAGAGTCCCCTTGATTATGTAGAATGATGAATTTTTTTTTTTCTTTCTTTTCTCGTTTCTTTTTTTTTTTTTTATGAATGTACTGATCTTTTATTTTCATCAATGAAATCCTAGTATTTAAAAGTTTGTGTGTTGGACTATTTTATTTGCATTTTATCTAAAATAAATAAATAAATAATATATATATATACAATATCTTTCGTACAGAAAATGGCAAGAAGAACTAGGGCAAATGGATCCAATGACAACAATAACAACGACGACAACAACAACAACAGTGACATCATGAATTTCGTTCGGGCAATTACTAATGAACTAAGAACCTAGTATTTAAAAGTTTGTGTGTTGAACTATTTTATTTGCATTTTATCTAAAATAAATAAATAAATAAAGGGTATAACAATAATATCTTTCGTACAGAAAATGGCAAGAAGAACTAGGGCAAATGGATCCAATGACAACAATAACAACGACGACAACAACAACAACAGTGACATCATGAATTTCGTTCGGGCAATTACTAATGAACTAAGAAACCAACTCAGGCGTGAAAACAAGAAAGCAGAATTAATAGCGAAATTTCAAAAACTTAAGCCCCAAAATTTTTCGGAGAACCCAATCCCTACATAGTTGAGGCATGGATAAGGCATGTGAAGAAAATACTGGAGACGCTAGAGATTCGGAACGAGCAGAACCAAGTGTCCCCCGCTTCATTTCTCTTTGATAGGGAGGCCGATTTCTGGTGGACAATGATTAAGGAAAGCCGTCAAGTGGCAGAACTATCTTGGAGACAATTCGAGGAGTTTTTTATGGAAAAATACTTCCCAAACTCAGTAAGGCAAGAAATGATCCAAGAATTTCTCCAACTAAAACAAAGAGGCATGACTGTGACACAGTATGCTAATCGGTTTGAGGCTCTTTCTCGCCATGCCACAGCTATAGTGGCAAACAAAACAGACAAAGTAAGACGCTTTGAGTGGGGACTTGATTCGGGAATCTGAGACAAGTTGGTTGCAGTACAACTACCTACTTATGCACAAGTAGTAGATAGGGCTCTTACTCTTGAAAGAGAGAAGATGGACACTGCAAGGACCCAAGATCAGCAGTCTAGAGCCAACCAACAAAGGAGCAGAGGACCCTCAAGGAATAACAAGACCCTTGCCACTTCGGTACCTTATGTTAGGGGGCCACAACAATAGCAAGGGTATAATGCTGAGCAGCGTAATGGGGAAAGGACTAGAAGGTGTTGTGAGTGTGGCCAAGAAGGTCACTTCAGGAGCAACTGCCCTCAAAGGTCAGGCTACTAAATCAATCAATGAGGAGCTACTCAGCGGAACAAATGAGCGCCAACTTAGGGAACACAAGCTGTGCAAAATTCCCGATCTAGTGGAGGTCAGCCGCCAGCTAATCGAAATGTGGGACAATCGATAACCCAACAACCAGGAGATGCCAATGTAAAGAAACCTTGGGTGCCAAATCAGGGTGCTACCGGGAGAGTCTTTACACTCCAAGAAGAAGGAGACAATGGAAATCCTTCAGTGATTCAAGGTATACTCATCCTTATGAACTCATGTGTACAAGTCTTGTTTGATTCTGGAGCATCACACTCTTTTATATCTGCTACATGTGTTACAACTTTGGGATTAGAACCTGAACGATTAGAAACACCTATAAGTGTAGCTTCACCACTAGGAGGTCAAACTCGAGTAGATCTCGTATGCAAATCATGTGAACTAGGAGTCTCCAATTTGCGTTTAACGTGTGACCTACGAGTCATGGAAATGTCAGACTTTGACGTTATCCTAGGAATGGATTGGTTATCAGCCCATAGAGCCACCATTAATTGCTATCGAAAGACGGTGACTGCTTACTCTTAGGACGGAACGCGATTCCAATTTAAGGGAGATAGACAAGATTCTTTATCATCGATACTTCAAAAATCAAAGTGGCACGATCACCTGGCTGGATGGCTAGCCAGCTTAGTTCTGGAAGATAAAGATCGTATGGAACTAGGGCTACCTCATGTGGTGTACGAGTATGCTGATGTATTCCCAGAGGAATTACTAGGACTACCCCCATAGCGAGCAATAGACTTTACCATTGAATTACAACCTGGTACATCATCGATCTCAATGGCACCACATCGTATGGCACTAGCTGAATTGAGAGAGCTTAAGACACAGTTGCAAGAATTAGTGGACAAGGAATTTATAAGGCCAAGCACATCACCGTGGGGAGCACCAGCCTTATTTGCCAAGAAGAAAGATGGGACACTTAGGTTGTGCATTGATTACCGACAACTTAATAGAGTTACCATTAAGAATCGATATCCGCTACCTAGGATTGATAACCTTTTTGATCAACTTAGAGGGGCAAAATATTTCTCAAAGATAGACCTCAGGTCTGGGTATCACCAGTTGCGTGTTCGGGAAGAAGATATTCTTAAGACTGCATTTCGAACTCGTTACGGCCACTATGAATTCGTAGTGATGCCATTCGGCCTAACCAATGCACCAGGAGTGTTCATAAGCTTAATGAATAAAATATTCACGCCTTACTTAGATCAATTTGTGGTAGTTTTCATAGATGATATTTTGGTGTTTTCCAAGTCTGAAGGAGACCATGAGCAACACTTGAGAGTAGTACTTCAAACTTTGAGAGAGAACCAGCTGTATGCTAAGGCTAGTAAATGCGAGTTCTGGATGGAGGAAGTAAAGTTTTTGGGTCACATAGTGTCTGAAAATGGAATATCAGTAGACCCAACTAAAGTAAAAGCAGTGACAGAATGGAAGCAACCTAAGAACACATTCGAGATTCGTAGTTTCTTAGGATTGGTAGGTTACTATCGAAGATTCATTCAAGACTTCTCAAAATTAGCCAAACCAATGACACATTTGACTCAAAAAGGGGTAAAGTTTGAATGGAACGAGTCTTGTGAAAATTCATTCCAAGAACTCAAGAAAAGATTGACGAGTGCCCCTATTCTCATAGTACTTGACATTGGGTACAATGTGTATTGTGATGCTTCCAAAGAAGGTCTGGGGTGCGTATTGATGCAAAATGGCAAGGTGGTGGCGTATGGATCAAGGCAATTAAAGAACCATGAGAAAAATTATCCCACTCATGACTTGGAGTTGGCAGCTATAGTTCACGCACTCAAGATTTGGAGACACTACTTGTATGGTGAAAAGTTTGAGATATTCACCGATCACAAAAGCTTGAAGTATTTGTTCACCCAAAGGGACCTGAACATGCGTCAGAGACGTTAGATGGAGTATCTAGAGGATTATGAATTTACCATTTTCTATCATCCCGACAAGGCTAATGTGGTGGCAGATGCGCTAAGCCGCAAGAATAGAGGGATTGTTGCTAGTTTAGCACTTAAGGAATGGAGTATGGTTAGAACGCTTAATGAATTTGGGATACAAATGGAGGTTCGAGATGAAAAGGCTTACATTGGTGCTCAGATTGCTACGCCTAAAATCTTGAGCGAGATATTAGAATCACAAAAGTACAACCAGGAGGTAGCATTCATCAAGGCACGAATGGAATCTAATGAAACCATGCCTGGTTGGGAAATTCACACTGATGGCAGTTTGAAATATCAAGGTCGAACGTTCGTACCAAGCGACAACTCACTAAGGGAAAAGGTACTCAAGGAATTCCACCATCCAGCATTCGCAGTACATCCGGGAGGTACTAAGATGTACCAAGACTTAAAACACCAATATTGGTAGGGTGGAATGAAAAAGGATGTAGCGAAGTTTATGTCTCAGTGCCTGACATGCCAATAAGTAAAGGCTGAACATCAAAGACTGGCAAGAACAGTTCAACCTTTACCAATCCCGGAGTGGAAATGGGAGCACATAACCACGGATTTCGTGATGGATTTGCCTCAGTCACCATAGCAACATGACGGCGTGTGGGTAGTGGTAGATCGACTAACTAAGATAGCCTGATTCTTAACTGTCGAGTCATCAGATACGTTAGATTCACTCAGTAGATTGTTCATCAAAGAAGTGATTAGATTACACGGAGTACCAATTAGCATCATGTCTGATCGTGATCTTCGATTCACTTCTCAATTTTGGCAGAGCTTGCAAAAGGCAATGGGAACAAACCTATGCTTTACCATGGCATTTCACCCACAAACCGATGGGTAGTCTAAAAGAACGATACAAACCTTGGAGGATATACTTCGAGCTTGCGTTATGGATTTTAAGGGAAGTTAGGAGAGACACCTACCTCTCGTTGAGTTCACTTACAACAATAGCTTCCAAGCCGGTATTGGAATGGCACCGTATGAAGCACTTTATGGACGGCCTTGTCGATCACCAGTCTGTTGGACTGACGTAGGAGAAGCAACCTTGTTAGGACCAAACTTGGTTCAGGAGAATATTGAGAAGATAAAACTGATCAAACAACGACTAACCACAGCCCAAAGTCGACAAAAGAGCTATGCGGATCAAAGGAGACGACCCTTAACGTTTAAGGTAGGGGATCATGTTTTTCTCAAAGTTCGACCTCGTCGAGGTACTATATGATTTGGAAAGAAAAGAAAACTTGCACCTCGTTATGTGGGACCCTTTGAAATTTTGAGCAAGGTAGGAGAGGTGGCATACTGTGTAGCATTACCACCACAGCTCGCAGTGGAGCACAATGTTTTTCACATCTCAATGTTACGAAAATATGAGCCACACCCTTCCCATATTATCAACTGGGGAGAGATTGATCTCAATCAAGATGCAAGCTTTGAGGAAAGTCCTATAAAGATTATGGATCAACGAGAAAAGAACTTAAGAGGCAAAGTAATCCACTTGGTGCAGGTGTTGTGGCAACATCGAGGAGTGGAGGAGTCTACTTGGGAAAGAGATGATGCAATACGAGCCAATTACCCTCAGTTGTTTGAAGATAAAGGTACGCGTGAAAATTTCGAGGACAAAATTATTTAAGGGGGATATGTTGTGAGAACCTGAATGTTTAGATAACTAATTAGTTTGATTAATAATAATATTAAGTCAGTTAACAGTGATTATTAAATTATCGAATTATAATTTAATAACATCATGGTTAACACCAATATTAGATTCCTTTAAATAAAATTATTTATCTTTCTGTAAATAAATAAATAAATAAACAATAAATAAATAAATAAAATCAAAATTTATGTTGGGCAGAGAAATTTGGCCCAAGCATGCCAATGCATGCCTTTGCTTACTGCCACACTCCATGCCTACATGCATAGATGGCAATTCCAAGCCTTTGATTAAGGCAGCTACGGCATGCAGCAAACTGTAAGCTATCATCTAAGCTTAGATGATAGTGTTGGAACAATCTTCTGTGTAAATAAAATAAATTCAAAACAAAGTCAAACAAATAAATAAATAACGTACCGAATTTATTTATCAAACTGAATTAAAAAATTCAAAGACCAAGTCGAGTGTGTGACATTCTGTTCTTAAGACAGATTCGCCCTGCTACGGTGCTTATAGTTGAGTGGCGTCTATCTCCCAGGATACAATGATCTTCACAAATTTGTAGAAGCACTTCAAACAAATTTGTCCGGCGAACCAAACATGTGTTCTAACTCTCTGAAATTTATTCTAAAACTAAAATGTAGAATAATGCAAAACAAAACAAAGTTGGACAGCAAAAGATGGGATTTTCAAACTGATATTCGGTGCCCAAGACTGTTGGCAATGGTCTGAACTTATAGGCAATCAATTCTGTCCCAACAGGTATGTAAACCGCCAAACAGATATGACACTGTTTTAGGACAAATTGAAAATGAAAACTGGACAGATCTTGAATCTGTCTGAATTTCAACAGACCTCTGGACAGATTTTTGGATGTATTATTATTAACCACAATCTGTAGGAACAAGTCTCCAATATATAAACCCAAACAGGTACACAAAAGAAGTGAACATGTGCGATTTGTATTGAACAGATGTCCAAACTGTAGCAGTTATCTAACTGCCCAGAACTGCTGTATCCCACTGTTTGAATTTTCCTGGGCAGGTTTAATAGTGAATCTGTCTGAATAATATAATAGATTGGCAGTTAAAAAACCTGTTCGAAATCTGTAGTGGAATATAGAAGAGGCACAAATTTTGGACAAACAATTTGAATTCAAATTTAAATTAAATTTCTGCAAAAAATTTAAAAAAGATTCAAATGAATTTTGTCCAAAAAACTAATACAAGAACCGACCCGACCCACAACCCACACCCGCGCCCGGCACGACTCGGCTTGGCCAGACGGACGGCGGCGGCAGCGCACACGTGTGTGGTGGTTTGGGCTAAGGTTCACATTTTCCATAACTCTTCCCTTCTACAAACTTAGGGTGCCCCTTGGGGCCCAACTCAAGTGTTGTAGGCCAGAGCTTATATACACAAATAAACTCTCTCAAAGTTTCAATGTGGGACAACCCTTTCCAAAGATACCTACATTTACTTCCTTAAATTTCCTATTTCACAAACCCGAAAACGACGTCATATTTCCATTCACTCATAAATGGTTTTGACGAACCTCTTCACCGTGTGACTTGCCACGTGGCAAGGAACACTTCACCTCTTCGGACCCACCCCAAAAGACGTTCGGGGCCCACTAAATTTTGGGCTCAAAGTCGGCCCAAAATATGCCTATATTAACCTTTTTTCCAACAGATAGTTCCTAAGCAAAAAAGAGAAGTAAAGTAAAAATAAAATAATAATAATAATAAATTAGGCCCTCAAACTCCTATAATTAGAAGCACTATTCGGCCTCATTACACACATATGTAATTGAGCAAAACAAAGAGAAAGAGATGGACAGAAAGCAAGAGGGAAATGAGAGAAGAGATAGGAAGAAAGGCTCAACACTTGGGATTTTTTTTT